GCATAAGTAGGTTTACAGTTGTGAATATGCAAAACAGCTTATTCTTGTATTATTATTTCTTAATTATTGTATTATTTTCCATACAAATAACTGCAGACCTACTTTTGCCCCACCCTGTATGTCAAATTCTGTCTCATTTAATTCTCTCACTAGCCTTATCATATAATATTATGTCTATTAAACAGATGAGGAAACTGAGCTTAGAGAAGTCAGACAAATTATTCAAGGTCATACAGCTTGAAGGCTAAAAAGCTGAAATTCAAACTCAGGTCTGTTTGACCTAAAAAATTTTGCACTAAACAAGTTTTCCATCCTTAAAATATTTTAACATTAAGCTAAAACTATATTGTTGCAGTGAACTGGTTTTGAAATTGATATGTACCATATAAACAGTTAATTAGGATCTTATATTAGCCCAGACCATATTTGCTACCCATGTGTCCAAATATTTTGTAAAGTAAATGATCATCAGGAGACCCCTGAGCCATTACTAATAGTAGAAGTTAAAAAGTAATAATTACCTGGTATTGTAAGTTACCTTTTATTTGTCTTTTCCTATTTTCTTCTAATTTCTAAGAAGGTACAAATTAAATGATAGCCCATGAACTTTGGTACAGTTCTATCTAGGAGTCTGCTAGACTGGTCAAATATTAAGTGGGTCATTTCATTCCTGAAGGCATTTAAAAATTGGCCACTCCAAGCAGATGACTTAGCATGTATGCATGACTGACTATGCTGGGGTGGGCTTACTGAATTACTTATCATACTCAGTTCTGATACCATGGGGATGATTTGGAGTTCCTCCTAACATAAAGAAAGGTGACAATAACAATGTAGTTATTTTAATATTTTTGAGGGCCTACTGTGTACCCAACACTGTGCTCATTACATGTATCACTTTACTCCAGGGTTTCTCAGTCTTGGTTCTATTGACCTTTTGGGCCAGCTAACTGGTGCTGGGGGCTGTCTTGTGCACCTTAGGAAGATGAGAAATATTTCTGGCCTCTACTTACAGCACACCCACCCGCTCCAGTTGCAACACTCAAATTGTCTTCAGACATTGCCAAATGTTTCCTGGTGGTCAAAATCAACCCCAGTTGAAATCCTCTGTTTTATTTTCTTAGTAACTCTAAGAGGTTGGTACTATTAGACTAATAATATTACTGATGAGAAGACTGTGGCTCCACAAGGTTTAAATAAAATGCCTGTAGTCTCACAGTTAGTAAATTAGAGATACGAATGTGCATAGGTTGCCTGCCTCTTCAATGCTGTTGTTGTGGTTAAAACACACAAGGGAAGATCTGCCCTCTTTCCCACCCTTTATTCCTATATGACATCACAGGGGTGGAGCAGTGGGGAAAAGGAGGGGTACCCATAATATAGGGCACATAACTTAGTTTTGTATCATGGCCTTTTATTTGACAGATCAATTCCATTTTAATTGGAATTCTGGAAACTAATGAAAAAAATTAGAAGTGTTAGATGGTCTATTCTCAGGGCTTTTGAATGTCTGATTTAATTTTAACCAATTAGCATGCCATTATGGAGGAGTTTTACATTGAGAATCAATATTACACTAAACACTAATATTTTATTCAGTATTAAAAATTTATACAAATGCTATTACAAGTGCTTTATTCTTATTTTCTTTAAATGAGAAGAAATGCTTCCTTAGGGTGATTCCAGCTACAAAGAAAATGTTGCCTTCTTTGGAGTCTGTTGGTATTATGCTTTCCATAAATCATTGCTTGAATGAATCAGTAAGATTTAATTGAATGAAATTTATTTATTTTTTTTAGAAAGTGTATGAGGTTTTCAGCCTATCAAAAATTGTTTTCCATTTTTTGCCCTGGCTGGTGTGGCTTAATGGATTCAGCACTGGCCTGCGAACCAAAGGGTCACCAGTATGATTCCCAATCAGTGCACATGTCTGGGTTTTGGGCCAGGTCCCCAGTAGGGGGTGCATGAGAGGCAAACATGCATTGATGCATCTCTCCCTCTCTTTGTCCCTCCCTAACCCTCTGTCTAAAAATAAATAAATAAAATATTTAAAAAAATTGTTTTGCATTTTATACCTATATCTCCTGTGAAGGTGACAATAAAAATACATTATTGTCCAATACTGCTAAAAAGGACAAAATGTTATAGTCCTGATTTTAGGATATTACTCCCACCCTCCCTCCCTTCTTCCCTCCTTACCTATTTCTTTCTTTTTTCCACTTGGTACTCTACTTTTAAAAAAAAATTTTATTCATAGATTATCTCAGGCTGCCATTTGAATCCAAATGTATCCAGACTCTGCATTTGATGACTTCTTTGCAAAGAGGAACTAATATACTTAGATAAACTAAACTACATAAACATCTAATAACCACCTAGAAACAGTTCAGTTAGGTATGATTTCAAACTTGGATTTCAGATCTACTTTCCAAATTGGGCCCATATGCCCTTCCCAGGATCTGACCTTGTACGGTCTCTGATTTTAGTCTTGGGCCCACTGCATGAATCCTATGGCTCCTCCTCCTCCGCCCCCCCCACCCCGCACCCCATTTAGCCTGTCCCTCTGCTTCTCCTCTTTTAGCTTCAGTAGCTTTTCCAAGCTTCCAAACTAGTATAACACTGAAAGATTTCCATAGCTTGGGCTTGATTAAGGCATTCTACAATTTTTTAAATCACTTATGTATTTTAATTCCCAACTTCTCAAATATTTGGACACTATGAGAAACTATGCTTTTTATAACATCCTTTACTTTGTTAATTATTGTACTCTGTTCCTCAGTGTTAGACACGTTTTGCTCCATGTTTTAGAGATCTCCCAATCGGGTTGGCCAGATCAATCAGCTAATATGCACATACCTTGAAAAAGCTGCTCTTTAGGAAAAGGTTGCTTGAAATTCTAAAAGCATTACTAGAAGTAAATTGCCATGCAAAATCAAAGCAAAAAAATTATTGAATAAATTAAGCTAACTGAAAAATTAGAAATTGGTGGTATGTTTAGCATAGTAATCACCATTACAAATGGGAAAATTTAAACTAAAAAAATAACATTTAATGGGTTGACTTTTCTAAAATATTGAGTGGATTTAATTAATAAGCATTTTATGCATATGGCTATTCTGAAAGTTATTTAAAAAATGAAAGACCAGTGACTTAATGAGAAGTATTATTACACGAACATATTTGAATCAGGCTTATGAAAAATAGGACTTGAGAATTTAAAATGTGTGTATAAAATGTAAATGGTTTAATTAACTGAAAACCCATAAGACAGAACTTCCTCAAATAAGCAATTACTTTGGGGACTAATAGTGTAAATAGGATCCTGATTCATTAGCACAAATACCCATATGAGAGAAGGATCAGCAAATTTTATCCTTTAAGTTATTTATGCACACATGGTAATATCTCATTAATTTAGTGCTTCAGTAAATTTAAAAATCTTTTGATAGTTTGTTCATGAGCTGGGCTGACGTTTACCTTTGCTTTGCAATCACATTTATTTGTAGGTAGATAATATATGGTGTTTTAAACATTTATTTTCAATCTTATGTACACTTTTTAGGTGCAGAATAAACTATTTTCAATGAACCTCAGGCACTTTACAAGCTCCTACATACATCTAATCTATATGCTAATAACAAAATGTTCATATGATTTATTATAGCAGGTCTCCTTAAGGATTTCTACTTTGTTTTGTTGAAGTTACCATATGTAGTTTAAAGTAATAAAAGACACATTTGTTTAAAACTTATCTGTAATTCAACCTTCCTACAAATTCAAATACACCAACCCTTCTAATTTATTAGAATAAATGAAATTTTACAATATTCACAGTTCTACATATATAATTTTTTCTTAAATATGCATTAGAACATATAAAGAAAAATAAAATACAAGGAAGAGTGAAAATAAATGTTTTGTGGGTAGACAAAGGAGATTAATAATCTCAAACCATTTTAAGTCCTTTAGGTACAATACTCGGGGCGAGGGAGGCGGGGAAGAATTCAATAATCGGACCCTTTCTTCAAAAGCTGATTTTGTTTATTTAGGATGACTCAACTGTATAACTTGCAAAAAAAAAAAATAGTGTTTCCTATTAAAGGCAGTCAGTGTGCAGGCCCAAAGCAGTGGATGCTCCAAACAAGAGCATCTGGGAGAAGGGAAATGCCACCTCACAGCAATCTGGCATTTCTAAATCATGCTTGTATATGGCCATGACTTTTGAAAGTCCACATGTCCACTTTCTGCATAAGATGCTACAGTGAAAACTAATATAGGGAAATCTCATTTAAACTGGAGTCAGGAAGCCAGAAGAGGGAGCCATCACTTACTACCACTCCATGTCAATTACATGTCAACAGGAGGGGATACCTTGTAAAGCCGTGTTACTAGACAACTGCAGCAGGAAGGAAGATCTCCTTCCTTGTCCAGCAACTCACCCAATGAGAAACTGTCACTGCCCTGACTCTTGTTTTCTCCCCGGTGGTCTTGCAAAACAAGCCCCTCCCAAATTCCTGCTTTTTCTCTGTAATGTTCCTCACCTTTGCTAGTTGAACTTGCAAATTGCCTGTACCAAATTGCCTGTACCAAATTGCCTGTACCAAATTGCAATTTTCTCCTAGTCCCACATAAATCCATTTTGATGATAGAATAACTGGCAGTTTTATGTCTTAAGACATTATTCACCAAAGAATTTTAGAAGTGTGTATCAAGTGGGTACATAAGTTATGTTATTCTAATGATCAAAACCCATATGTAGGTCAAAATGACTCAAATTCTAAACCAGATAAAACATATTAAACTAGAATTTATAAAAACCACATTTGAACCGAAAAATGGAATATTGCCTTTTTTTTTTTATGAAACATTTTGGAGACAAATGTGGAGATTATTCTTAAATCATCTTCACACAAGAAGCATTTCCATTTCTTTTGTAAATATTGAGAGAGAGTGAGATGGAGGAAATGCCAATTCTGTTACCCAGATCAGTAGTTACTTACCATAGAAAGAGGGAAAAGAAACTTCAATTCCATTTTCATAACCTAATCAAGAACCCTTGATGAAAGAGGCCCCTTCCACGTGCTTCTTGATTGCCACAAAACCTGGGAAGGAGATATAAGCATGAAATATTTCATTGTCAAGAAGAAGACTGCTCAAACAATACTAGTTTCTTATGTCACTGATTATTTCTCACCTGAATGAGAACTATCAGTCAGCCATATGCCGTTTAGAAATCAACCAGCTATCCACAAAAGTTTGAGCAAGAAAGTCCTGGGGGTTGAATCCTGCTCAGTATTTGTCTGGGTGAACTTTATGTCTTAATTTCAGTGAGGCTCCATTTCTTCCTCAGGTGGAAGTAATGGTACCAGCTGGTCAATGGACTGTTCTGATGGTGGAATGAGATGATGTGTGAAAAGACCTTTAGTTAACAATGAAAGTATTTATTTGTACCCTGTCTCTTTAAGAATTTGAGATGGTTTCCAAAAGGAAAAATAATGAAATGTGAATGAAAATAAAATAAGGTCGAGAGTAAAAAAAAGGAGGAAGTATACATACTATCTATGGTGGTTAGTAGTTGAACTGATGGACGTTATAATTTGGATTTGAATTTCTTGGTAATTTAAGTAAAAGGAAAACAATTTCTTCTATAACTCCTATTATTAGAAAGGAGAAAATATATCATTCCTCCTAAGAAACCAAGTATTTTATCTTTCTGATATGAAATCCATAGAAAAAAATTTTCATGTAAAACATGATACAGAAAAACTGAGATAAAATGGACTATTCTATTTAACAAGAGTGGGACTAACTACTTACCATGGAAACTGAAGGGCAAAACAGTACTTTTGCTTGGAGGTAGTTGTTATTGCTGTAAAACTTATATTTTTCTTAGAGACAAACCTGAAGCTTGAACTAGGGAAATCCTCAACATAAACCTACTAACTCTCAATTAACAAATCATCCAGCTCTCTTCCCTTGTGCCTTCCTAACAAACATAGGAGGAACTTCTTTACTGAAGTCATATTCTCAACAGAGGAGGAGTTTCTGAACCAAGCCATTGATTGCTGCTTACTGATAAATAGAGGCTAGAACTGTAAGATGAAGTGTGATGCAGTACTGATGTGATACACTTTTGATGTGTGATACAGTGCTGGTGTGTAGTACTGTACTGACAGCTGCAGAGCCCAGCTGGGGGAGACATTCCAAAAAGGAAAGGAGGAGAAAGGGAAAAGGCACAACCAAATGATTATATAAGTGCAACAAGTCACAGCAGGAGGCCTCTTTCTTGAACTCCACATGTTTTTCTTGGCTTCCTTGAGATCTCACTTCCAATCTCCCAAGAAATATCTCTCAATTTCCCTCTTCTGGTTTTTCTTTTTCTACCTCCCTTTACATGTGGGCCTTCTTCAAGGTTCTCCACTTGGCAACAATTTCATTCACACCCATGGCTTAATTATCTTTGTTAAAAAATATTTTTCCAGGCTAGATCCTCATCCCCTCATCTCCCAAATTTGCTTTTCTGTCCATATGTGAAATCTTTCTGACGTCAATGCTTGGCATCATCTTAATTCTCCGTTTCCATCACTGCACCCTTCCACAACACACACATGCAACTGATTGTGGCTACTTTGCCCACACAAAGCTCTAGTTCCCTTTTACACATCTAAGGCCATTGTCATATCAGAAATTCACCATCCACCATCTACCTTCAAAGCAATGGCCTCCCATCTCATGTACTCCCTGATTCCAAAATTTATTTCCCAACTTTCACGATGACTTCAGTTTTCTTCCTAAACCTCATGCTTCTTTACTTGCTTGAAAAATTATAACAACTCTCCAGTCCCTGTAGAATGTAGTCTAAAGCTTCTCAGCAGAGCTTTTCTAAGATCTGAGATCAGTACATTTTCCACTTTCCACATAACTCTTCTAGTAACAGTATACTTCTTTTCCTCACTGTTTCTACTCCCTCCAAAAGCTGTTTCCTGTTTCCATGACTCTGGTCAATAGTTTTGTGCTTCTGAAATGTCTGTCTTTTAATACCCAGTTCAAATACCACCTCTTTCGGGGATCTTCTGGAATTTCTGAGTAAGAATTCATTGTACTTTCCTTCGTATACCCAAGGATGCTTAACTGTCGCCTTACTACAAAAATCTCATTGATAGTATTCTCACTTCATTTTATATAACTCCATACAGCAGGGTCAAGAGCTCTCAAAAAGCTCATGATCTAGTAGGGAAACCCTGCTTTATTTAAATTTCTGACTTCCGTAGGATAATATTCAATGCTTGAATGTTGTGCATACTCTCTAAATAACAGAATATCTGATGATTTTTAAGAACACCATTCTAGAAAATGTTTTCTAATAAGTGACAATCGTAAGACTTCACATTTGAAAGGTGGAAGGAATGGAAGGAAAGAGGATAAGAAGAGAACCGAGCACAGATGGATGTGTTATTTTTCTCTTTTATTTAAAGCATTTGTTTGATGATTTTATAAAAAGTAAGGGCTTATATCTGAGGACAATGTTGAATTTGTTGTAATGAATCAGATCACAAAATATTTAGTTATGGATTTGAGATTATCACATGAAATATATCACATGATTATATAAGTGCAACAAGTCACAGCAGGAGGCCTCTTTCTTGAACTCCACATGTTTTTCTTGGCTTCCTTGAGATCTCACTTCCAATCTCCCAAGAAATATCTCTCAATTTCCCTCTTCTGGCAGCTCTCCCATTAGGGATGGAAAATGTCTTTCTGGTCCCCATCCTAATGCCTGGCACATATAAGCTAGTTTAATATTTGTTGAATGAGTAAGTGCTTACTCATTCACTTATCTCTCTCTCAGCTGTGTTCCCCAACCTCTCCCTCTTTGTAGCCAAACTATGGCAAATAATTACTGAGGCTTATCTTTATTTTTTTACCTCTCATTTTCAGTTCATACCACATCACATTGCGCACTGTGCTGATATATTGACTTCCACTCTGCTACCTCTGGGTGACTTACTTTATAACCTTTCTCTAGGCAATCAGATCCATCTATGGGTCATATCAGTCACATCCAGACCTATGAATGTGAAGATCAGTCATGAGTTTATGTCCAACCCCAGAGGTCTCTGACAAGCCCCACAGCCATGATCAAATAAGTGTTTGCCCTGTCCTGTGATGTATCCAAGACTTCTTAAACTCATCATGTCCGGCACTGAATTTAGCATTTATCTTTGCAAACTTGCTCCCCTTCCAGTGTTCTCTGACAGTTTCTCAGAAGATAGCTCATTAGTTTTATCTCCTATATATCTCTTAAATCTATTGACTTTTTAGAAATCACCAACATCCCATCCTTCTTCCCCTAGGGAAAGCTACCAATTGTATCTTTGCTGAAAAGTTCAACTGGTTTACATAACTTTTACCCCTTGCCAGCTAATACTCTGTAGTATAGCCAGAAGTATTTTTTTGAAATATGAAATTGATGATGTTAACTACAATCCCCACCTCCAAAAAAAGCCCACCCCATCCTTCTAATTGGTCCTAGGTTAAAGGCACAGTATTTGATAGGGCTAAAAAGCCTGCCACGGTGCGTGATGACCTCTGATTACGTCTTTAGATTCAAAATGTTCACCCCTGCTCTCTGTACTGCAAGTACCTGACTTTTTTTGTCTCTCGCATTGCACTGCTCTCTTCTGCTTTCCATACATCGTGACTTCTGCCTATACTCTTTGCCTAGTTGGCTGCTATACGTTGAGATCTCATTTTCCAGGACCTTGTATTTCTCCTTTGTAGCATTTAGAACAGTTTCAGTTTCATACCTATTTGTGTCATTCTTTTACTGTCTGTTTTCCCCATCAGCATTTAGGCCAAATGAGGGCAGTGAATACCTGATGCAATTCATTGCATCCTAACAATGCCTGGCATGTAGTGAGTACTCATTCATAAAGATGATTGTATTGAAAACATGAGTAGATGAAATGAATGTGAAAATAAACAAATATAAATTCAGTGGAAAAAAAATGTACCCTTGGTCTGCCATTTAAAAATTCTAAAGATAAACCCAGTATTCATATCTATAACAAGAACACTAAAAGCTTTTGATGGATTTAAGAAATCACAATAGGAGGGATTCCTTTCTCACATAGATTCAGTAGTACATGAACGGGAATGATTGGGATGTTTTTAATGAAAATTTCACCTGGGCTGGAGCAACTGGTTTTAGCATACAAGAAATATGCTAAGATATGAAAGTAGTACTTTTCATTTCTATTCTTGCCATTTTTTGCCACTGCATATATTGAACAAGGGCCATTGCAAAGAGAGGAAGGGAGGACTAGGACCAGAGACATGCTGGGAAGGCAAAAAGGAGGAAAGGTTTTAAAAAAGTTTAAGTGTCTCATTCAGGATATCTGCTGGTTCTTCTTTTTTTTTTTTTGTATGCTTGATTCTAAAATCCATGTCATTACATGAAATGTAATTGTCTCTGCTGCTTCCATATGGTGACAGAATTCTAGCAACTGCATCAGGATCTCATCAAATAGACAAAATGAAAATGTTGCATAAGTTGTTTTCCCTAGGTTAGATTACAAATACAGACCCCCTAATAATGAAACACAAATTTTGCAAATTAGAATGTATCAGTTATAAATGAACTCTTGTAATTATGAGAGTAAAAATTCCACATTGAAATAAGAAATGCCATCTGATTTTGATTTAACACAAAAGGGGGAAACACATTCCGTGTAAGAATGACAAATAAAGCTGTCAATGTGATCCATTTATAGCTCTTCAGAGAATGCCTCAAATCCACCTAATGTTCTGAGAAACCAGTTATTGTGTTTGCTCTCTAAAAGAGAGAAGAAGGCAGAGAAGTCCCCACTGGACTTCCCTCCAAGGAAACTAAGGTTAGCTAGAATAACTTGCATTAGTCAACATCCCCAGGTGCATACCCCTTAAAGGCGAGAATGAGAGCTTCAGGTGTTTCATTTAAATAGTGTGTAACCAATGGAATACTACTTGGCCTTAAAAAAGAAAACTTTACCCTTTGCCGCAGTATGGATGGACCTGGAGTACATTTTGTTAAGTGAAATAAGGCAGTCAGAGAAAGACAAATACCATGGGATCTCACTCATATGTGGGATCTAATGAACAAACTGAACTAACAAGCAAAACAGAGAAAGACTCACAGATGGAGAACAGGATGACAGCTAGTGGGAGTGGGGAGGTCAAGGAGTAGAGGGATTGAGAAAAAAGGAAAAAGGGCTCATGAATGTGGACAACAGTGTGGTGATCGCTGGAGGAGAGGAGTATAATGGGACTAAATGGTAATGTAAAAAATACAGTAAAGATTAAATTAAAAAAATAAATAGTGTGTAACAACAGAGACGCCGGAATGCTGCAGGGACTGATGGGGGTGTGAAAAAATGGGGAAAAACTTTTTTCTCCCTTGTCCATCCATCCCCCAGCCTTCCTCACCTGAGTTCTAGGATGGCCTTACTGACTTAATGAGGCTGCTTTCTGCAAGGCCTACTCCTAACAAAAATTAGAGAGAGCCATAAAATCTTAATTTTTAAATATTTTATTATGGGTTATTTCAGGCTTAGGTACAGGGGTTCTTGCCAAAAACAAACACGGGAAATATAATTGATATTTCTTATCACTATACTCATGCTTCTTTCTTTTAAGAAGCAGTTTGCTAGCCCTAGCAGGTTGACTCAGTTCGTTGGATCATCATCCCATATACCAAAAGGCTGCAGGTTTGATTCTACGTCAGGGCACATACCTAGGTGGCAGGCTTGATCCCCAGTGAGGGCACGTATGGGAGGCAATCGATTGATGTTTTTCTTTCACATCAATGTTTCTCTCGCTCTCCTTTCTTCTCTCTCTAAAATCAATAAAAACATATCCTCAGGTGCAGCATTAAATAAATAAATAAATAAGTAGTTTGCTGTTAAACACATGTACTATACATATATATTCATGTATAATCACATATAAAATATGACCCTTTGGAAGGCATAACTGATCATTTTTGCTTCACACTGGCTGCTAAAAAAAACTTAGAACAAAATTTGTTACTAATCTTATAGCAGTAGTATTGAATTTCATGGCATGAATTTGAGTGTGAATGTCTTTCCTGGCTCTATCTTCTGTTCTTAGCCTTATTTTTGACTTTGACTTATTTTTCCTTACCTTTTTGAAACATATTTTATATGGCTACACAGTATATTTATTAGCCTTTTTCTATAAGCCTAAATCATTTCCAGCATATAAATAAAATATACAACATTTATTATAGATAGCCTTGTTTTTCCTTCAGAGGGTTGCAAAATTTCCCAAGGCAACATGCAATATATAACTTATTATCATGAATGTTGAACATTAAGGCACCAGTGTTTATAGTAATTATTTTTTGGTGATATTTAGCTCAGTATTGTAGTTAACTTTTTAAACTACTATTTATACATACACTTTTAGGACTCAATTTCCTAGCCTGAGGTCTGTGGACTCTCAAATTATGTGCAAAATTTTGTGCATGTAAATTTATGTTAAGAAGGGGTTTCATGATTTTAACCGAATTCTGAAGGGTGAATTTGATGCAAAAGATGAAAAATTACTGATTTGCAATGGAATAATCCCAGAAGAGCAGTTCTTGGTTTTTTGGCATTCAACTAATTGACAAGTTATGAATTACCTACAAAGTGCCTGGTGCTTTATAGATACTCAGAAAACAGCAGTAAACTTAGAGAGTTGACCTCTAACCTCAAGACACTTCTAGTCCAGTGGACATGAGGGTAGACATAAAAGTAAAACAATTGGATGGTTATTGTACAAAAACAAAAGAGATTGATGGAATAAAAGTGAATGAGATTGGGTGTTCAGGAAGACCTCTGCCAAAGGTGTCATCTAATCTGGGCCAAAAAGGATGGGAGCACAGGAGCAAAGAGCATTCTAGAGGGAGGGGCCAGCTAATCCAAAGACCCTAACGGAGATAAAAGCTTATTGTAATTGAGAGCTCTTCTAGAAAATATGAACTGTAGATCTTCAAATCCATTTTTTAAAGGCATTTTTAGTACTTCAGTCTAGAAATATCAGACTAAATGGTATTTTGCATAAAGGTTAGACATCTTTTCCTTGTTTTCACTTTTATAAGTTATATTTTCCAATGTGAGGGAAAGGTATCTTCAGAAGAAGAATCTGGTGTATTTTATTATCCATTAAATTTATTCAATAAATATGTGAGTCTGTGATCTTAAGGCACTATGGGAGAGATGCCCTCAAAGTGCTCAGCATGACCAGATAAAATGTAACTGCCGTATATGGAACCAGTATGTATCTCTCAGCCCAGACAGCAAGTAGCTTGAAGAGCCAGCCTCTGCTGTCTACCACTGCAGATGCCTTTAGTGTCCCCAAGAGCCCTGGCAGCCTGGTATCCATAGAATAATATGAGAGTTCTCTTTCATGATTGTACATACGGCTTTTGTTACAAGGAAACAGATGCCCATCATGCCTAGTAAACCAATTTTGGTCATTTTTGCTATTTGCTAGATTTAAACACACTGAATTCCTCCCCAAATATCTTTGTTTAAAAAAATCCTCTTAAGCCCTAGCTGGTGTGGCTCAGTGGATTGAGCATCTGCCTGCGAACCAAAGGGTAGCCAGTTTGATTCCCAGTGTAGGACACATGCCTGGGTTGCAGGCCAAGTCCCCAGCAGGGGGCGTGCAAGATGCAACCATATATTGATATTTCTCTCTTTCTTCCTCCCTTCCCCTCTCTATAAATAAATAAATAAATAAAATCTTTAAAAAAATCCTCTTAAGATAAAGGACTCCTGGTACACTGCTAATGGGAATGTAAACTGGTACAGCCACTATGGGAAACAGTATGGGGGTTCCTCACAAAATTAAGACTAGAGTTGTCATATGACCTAGCAATCCTGTTTTTGGCTATTTACTTGAAAAATTTGAAAACATTTATTCATAAAGATATATGTACCCCTGTGTTATTATTATTCATGGTGGACAAGACATGGAAGCCACGTGTGTCCTTCAAAAGATGATTGGATAAAGAAGATATGGTACACATATACACGTCATACTCAGCCATTAGAAGGATGAGATTGAGATCTTGCCATTTGTGATAACACAGATGGATCTTGAGAGTATCATGCTAAGTGAAATAATTCAGAAGGAAAAGGACAAAAACCACATGGTTTCACTCACATGGCAACAAATGAACAAAACGAACTCAGACACAAACACTAAGGTGGTTACCAGAGGACAAAGGGCAGGTAGGAGGAAGATGAAGAAGATAAAAGGGGTCAAACATATGGTGATGGAAGGAGACCAGACTCTGGGTGGTGAACACACAATGCAGTATACAAATGATGTATTGTAGACTTGGACATCTGAAACTTATATAATGTTATTAACCAATGTTACTTTGATACGTTTAATTTAAAAAATCCTCTTAGAAGGAATCTTGGAAAATTCAAAACATAACGAAATTATTATTGGACCTTAATGTGAGATCTTCTGACATTTTGACTGAGAAATCACTAAAGGTGTTTGTTAAAAATGCAGTTGTTTGGGTCTAATCTCAGACCCATTAATCCAGAACTGTGCAGAATGGCTACATGCAATCTGGGTTTTTTAAAAAGCCTCCAGATGATTTTTATGCCCTCTGAAGTTTAAGAACTCCTTTCTTTATGGATGTAATAATCTAGCAAGGATTGCTGTCTAGGTTTAAGAAGAAAAGTTACTTTAGTCCTTAAAAACAAGCCATCATCATTTGGAGTTCAAAATATCAATTACCCTTTAAATGTATCTTGGATCTATCACACTAGTATTAAATGTTCAGTACTGTAGATTTTCTATTTGGAGGTTTCAAGCATTTAAACAGAGTTGGTAAACTAATGATAGGTATTAAAAGGCTGCCTGATGGACCATTAAAATATTAATAATAAAGTATATTAAAATAGTAAATGAGTCACTGAAATTATAGAGGCCATACGAAATTTAAAATGATCTGACATAGGATGTTCTGCTATGTACTGATGCTGTTACTCATCATTGGTCTGGGAAACCTGAGGCTCTTTGGAATTTCTGAAAGAAACCATCATTTTCCTAAGGTTCCTACTCCTATTGATTAGGTGGTCCCCCAATTTTTATTCTGGATGATGAAAAGAGTGATGGCATGGAAGTCGAGAGCTATAGGTTCTATACGTTAGGTTTTGTGTTTCTTTGAGCTTCAGTCTCCTCTTTAATAAATCAATGGTCTTTAACTGGTCGCTATCATATCTTCCAAACCCAAGTTTCTGTCGTTGTTCTGAGGTCAGTTTTTTCTGTTGTGAGACACAGGGGTAAGACAGTGTGTGGCGTGTCCTGTGTGTCTGAAGACAGCCCCATTGTCTCCATTACTATATTTGCATCCCCATTCAAAATTCAGGCTCCCTCTCTCCAAAAGTTTAAGATCATTGATACTTCATTTAGGTTATTCCAAGAAAGGGACAATATATTGCTATAGGTATTTATAAGAGATAATTATTTATTCAACATATACTTCTTAATCACTTAGTGTGTGATACTTATCACTGTGGTAGGCCCTGGGAATACAACAATGAAAAAAGATAAAAAGAGTTCTGGCCTCATTCTGCTTATAGTCTGATGGGGGGAGTTATGGAGGAGAAGAATAACAACAACCCCATGTAAACTAACATGTAAGTAAAATAACTGCAGCTTATAATCAGTGTTGTAAGGCATCATCAGTAAAGGTTAGGGTAGAGAATAACAGAGGCCTGAAAAGTATTTGGGAAAAGCCTCTAGGAGGTGGTAATAGTTACTTAGAAAGGATGATGACTAAGGGAGAGGGTTGGAGGAAAGGGAAGAGTATATTCTGAAATCCTGTGGGAGGAACAGTTTATGTGCTTGACAACCAAAATCCTGGAATAATTCCTTCCATCTCTGAGAGTGTAATCCAAAACTACAGAAAGGAAGTCAGAGACCCAGAGGGCTTAAGGGACTTATCTGAGGTCAAATATCCAGTTAGTTAATGATAGAACTCTTCCACACTTCAGTCCAGAATGTGAATCCTTCTTAGGGATCACAATGCAACAGGAAGCGTCAAAATGCCTTGGTTAAAATCCTGGCTCTGTGACTGACTCATAAACTGCTTGTCCTTTTTCTTTGAGACCAAGTTTCCTTTGTGCAAAACACAGATGACATCTACTGCATCAGACTGTTACAGGGATTTAATGAGATAATGAGGTACAGTGCCTGGTGTATCATAGGGGCCCAATAAATGTAAGCTCTTAATTTTTCACCCGGTGCACTTTCACCCATAACAAGCTGTTAGAACATGAGCAGGGCAGCGGTTGTTACTTGGCTAACAGGAGTAGTGGCAGAGAAGTTCTGGAATAGTATGCTGGGGCCAATTTAGCAGCTATCCTTCTGAGAGTGCTGATTGGAGGAAATGAGAAGAAGGGGGAAGGTGTCAATGGAAAACATTCCCAACTTCATGATTTTCCTCACCACTTAATATGCAAGTAGTAAGTGTAGAGTTTTCTTAAAATAGAAAAGACCATCCATAATAATTTTTATTCTAGGAGACCAATAAACAAAAGAATGACACTTTATTTTTAAATACATGCCAAAAAATGGTGATGTTAACATGTCCCTCAGTCCACTAGGAACAAAGTAATTCAATTATCTGTAGGATATTAAAATGATTGCTGATGTTAAAGATGCTTAAAAACCAAGCCCATGATATTGGAAGAATGAATAATGTATCCAAGCAACTACGAGGATTTTCTTCACCGTATATGAACAAAACCATTGTC